TTGTTCATAAGTGTTTATTCATTTATAGAAATGGGAATGCGATAGAATTTGGTAATTAATGAAGTAAGTTGTTTCATATCTGTGATCTCTCGAAGAAGCTCTGGTGACCAGATGGCTAAGGAGTTGTGCTGCCAACCCAAAGGCAGGTGGTTTGAATCTCCCAGCTGCTTCTCAGGAGAAAAATGGACATTATCCCATGCAATTTCCAGCCTCTGAAAACCTGCTAGAAAATCAGTTAGTGCCAATTTAGTTAAAGAAGAAATTCACCTAAGATGCTGTTTGTGGTTTAGGGAAGGACTTGCAAGAGAAGCATGGCAAAATGTAGGACTAGGAATGTAGAGTGACTGAGAGTGAATGTTTCTTGTCAGAATTTTAGTTAGTTGGTATGTTGGTTCTCTCAGACTCTAGAACTCTTTCAAAGAATATTTTTAATTCCAGTGGGTCTCTGATTAAAGAGGTTATCTCTTGATTGTAAGCTGTACATGTTTAGCTTTCTCAAGTTACAGAAATCACATTTATCATCTTAAAGGTACAGCCACACCGCTTTGTGTTAATAAACGTCCCCAGACTACAGTTTTTTATTTCAAAATTTCTGATGCTGAACCTGCCCTTTCTCTCCGTATTATCTAGGCCATTTCCGGGCCTTTCCTAAGCCTTTGGTGTCTGCTATTCCTAGATGCAGGATTGGAAGCTTGAGAGATTTCGACCTCGTGAAGGAGCGCTTTATGTGTCAGAAGGATCTGTCATGTGCCTGTGGCTGAACTGTTGAGTAGAAAAACAGAAAACAAAATTATCTTGCACATCAGGTTTCCCCCCATGCATTTGATACTTAATACAGCGGTTGTTTGCATTGAGAATAGGGCTTTGGTGCTGTACCTTGAACCTCTGTGATGAAACAGAACTTTCAGGTCTCCATATTCCTTCATAGTCTTCATATTTTCTATATATTCCTTTGAATGTGGGGAGACCCCTTAATTGCAGTGATTGGAAAAGCCTTTGTAGACTCTCATCCTTGATAATAGCTGTACAGTGATCCCCAGAGTCCCCTAGACACTCTGGAGTGAGTATTGTGGGTCTTGATGAGAGTTTAGCCTTTGGGAGAAAATTCTGAGCTCTGGATTCGGATTGTGTTTAATTTGGATTCTAACACATTCTGAGTGTTTATGGGGCTGCTTCTTAGTTTTTCTAAGGCTTGGACAACTTAATTTGTTTGTCTAATCTTTCATTTGCTCATCTGTAAAATGGAAATTAAAATCATGTAAAGCATTTACCAGAATATCTATTATAAACACTTGTTAAGTGATATTATTATGAATTTGAACATTCGTGTTCTCTGTAGAAAAATTATTTAGTATGTCCTCCGTTTTCTTTGAGAAGGGAAAATTTATTTTGTGGTATCAAGACACTACTAGATAATTCTAATTTTTTTTAAAAAGGTATTAAAAAATAGCAAAGATACCAAAAGATACCAAAGCATAAAATGTCTTAGTAGTTATTGTACGGTATTATAAAAATAGATAGTTCAAGAATTAATAAATATGACTATCTAGGCATTAGACCCAGGGATATTTACTAATTTTGTTGCTAATTACTGCAGTGTTAGGTTGCTCTCATACTCAGTGCCACATTCTAGTTGTTTCCTTCCAGCATCATTTGTGACTCTGAAACACCCCCTCTTAACTGTGGTTAGGCCAATTGCCAGATTGATTTGGAGCGAGGGGCAGTTCCAAACAGAATTCTGCCCATAATTATACCCTATGGGCTAGACACTTAGCAGTTTCTGTAATTTGTTGGTAAAAAATACGGAAAGGGGTGGAAAGCTTTTTTGATCTGACTGTGATACCATAATGTATTTGAATTTTTTTTTTTCCCTTTCCACTATGGGACTCTTCTTGTTAACGATTGTCGAGTTGCCCCAGGCCAACCCTGGTCACTCCATTGACTCCATGCACAATGTCAGCAGCTGATTTTTGAAAGTAGACTGCTATAACTTTTTTCCACTCTTAGTCTGAAGTACTGCTGAAACTTGTTCAGTATCATAGCAACACACAGTTCTCTTCTGGCAGATGCGCAGTGGGAATACTGAGGTACTTTGGCCAGGTATTAAACACAGGTCTGTCTCCCTGATGGAATGTGAGCATTTTACCACAGAACCATCACTGTTTTCATTCACTCTTAAGATTAAAGAAGCTTCCTAGTCTAAGTGAAAATATTTAATCCTTCTGATGCTGATGTGATCTACTATAAAAAGAATAAGAGAAATAGGAGATTTGACTTGTCTTTTCGAAGTTACAGCATAGTTTGGTTTCCTCCTTTTATTAGTCTAACAGCAGGATTGACAAGGAACTTTGCTGACACCAAAGCCACAGGTTTACAATGTTTTCATCTCTGGCTTTGCTGCTTGCAATGAGTCTGAGAAAGTTCTTTATCTCTTATAACCTAAGTTTCTCACCATGGAGTGGGGATATTATCACCACATGTGTAGGCAGGCTAGATGCAAATATTAAATAAGGTTATCTACCTGAGATAGTTACTCCAGTGCCTGGCTTATCATAAAGAACGATTTATATCTGTAATTGTCATTGTTACTAAAATGCCTGTAAATCAAATGACAGTAAAACAATTTTTAAGAAGTGGGGACTGCAGCATGAATTATTTGAGGATTAGAAAGCGAGCAAGAGAATCGAATTATAAAAAGCTTCTGTAATTGTAATCTTGAAGTTTCCTAATAATACTTCTTCTGTCAAATGAATTATATTACATTTGAATGAGGTGGCAGAGTACATGAAGATTATGTGTTCATATAACATCGAACTCTTGTAGAAGAAACAACAGTTTGCTATTCACTGACCAACTTTGTGTCAGCAGTTTATGGGGTGATATTAAAGAGACACTGGACAAGGATTTTCCCATAGTTACTGCTGGCACTGTAATTTTTTCTTTTAAATTTTTTTTTTTTTTTTGAGACTAATGGCATAATTTTACTAAAGCACTTTACTGATTTTGCAAGCCGATTAAGTATGCTTCAGTTATGTTTGTGCCAGAGAAAAAGGGAAATATTTTGAGTTTATTTGGCAGTTAACTGCTGTCTAAAGAGACTAGTTTGCTCCTTCTTATAAAAAGAATTTGGAAGCTTCAATCAACGTTTTCAGAAATCATGTTCTATGTCCATTTTCATAGTTCAGTAAGAATTGGTCAAGCAATAGTAAGTAATTATAATACTTCTGATTAGCAAATAAACATTCATTTTATCCTCTATTTTACTTTTTTAAATTTAGTTGTGTTCTTGTTACAATGTACTACTGTTGAATGTATACCGACTGGACTCATCGCTGACCCTGCAGTGTTTGCAGGGGCTTTGAATTACACGAGATTGGCCTTTCTCTTGCAGAGCAGCTGGTGGATTTGAACTGCTTATTTGTGAATAATCTTTTTTGGGCAGTATTAGGTAGGATTGACGAATATCCAAAAAGAGAGTTTTTCTGATACTAATAACAACTTTAAAGAAGGAGCTCTGTTGACCCAAAGATGGTGACTTTCTAATGTTTCCAGTCCACCAGTGGCCCCACTGGTGGGAGAAAGACATACACTCTCCTCCTGTGCACTTTGACAGCCTCTGATAACCCGCTAGAAGACCAACAATAAGTAAAATCTGATCCTATGGCATTTAGTGAGTTTTGTTAAAGAAGTATTTCACCACAGATAATATTCAGAAAAATACAGATTTATTTTTGGTTCAGTTAAATACTGTTTAATTGCAGAATGTTTGTTCTATTTTCCCACAGTGTTTTGCATTGAATAAGAAAATGTAATTCTAAAGTTGTAGAATATCCAAAGTTCAGCCTGGATCACGTTGAACCTTATAAGTATTATTAATGAATGATTGTAGATTAATCTGTTAATCCAGATTGATTAATCCATTGGAGGAGCATATAGAAGTACCTTTGGGGAGACAAAGAGCAAAATTATAACTTTGAATAAAAAGAATTTGCCTAGGAGAAATTGATATTTCTACTGTTAACCTCTGAGTTTAGTTTCTATCCCTATAAAATAAAATTATAATATGCTTTTGATGAAATGACCAGCTAACAGAACAAATTCAATACAGATACAAAAATTAGAATTATACTTTGACATCTTATAAAAAATTTCTTAGTGTTGTTAGTACTAGGAATCATGCAGTTGTCAAACCAGCCCATAGCTCACCCTTCTGTGGTTTTTCAGGGGCATTAAATCTCACAGGAGTTGATTTACTCCTCTTTCTTCTGAGGAACAGCTGGTGGGTTTGAACCATGTGTCTTTGCGTTGGCAACATAATTCCTAATTGTTCATTTTATTCAAAATTGTTACTGGGTTGACACTTTCTCAGAATGATTTTTAATTGCTATTGAAATCTTGGTACCAGCAGTCAGGAAATCAAAAAGCGTATTGCGATGGGAAAGTCTGCCGTTAGGGACCTCTCAAAGGTACTCAGGAGCAACAGTGTCTCTCTGGAGACTAAGGTGCGCCTGATACAGGTCATGGTATTTGCAATCGCTTGTTATGCATGAGAGAGTTGGACAATGACTAGGGAGGACAGAAGGAGAGTGGATGCTTTTGAGCTGTGGTGCTGGAGAAGGGTACTGAATGTACCCTGGACTGCCAGGAAAACAAACAGATTCATCTTGGAGAGGATTAAACCAAGCTGCTCCTTGGAGGCAAGGATTCTGGGGCTTCGTCTGACATACTTTGGACATGTTGCCAGGAGGGACGGGTCCTTGGACAGGGAAATCATGCTTGGGAGGGTGGAGGGACAGCGCAGGAGGGGAAGACCCTCTATGAGATGGATTGATTCGGTGACTGGGGTAATAGGGATGGGTGTGTCAGAGGCGGTGCGGTTGGCGCAGGATAGAGCAGGGTTTAGAGCTGTTGTGCATAGGGTCGCTATGAGTCGGAAACGACTCGATGGCACATAACAACAATAACAACATTGAAATGTTTTGTGTTTTCTTTCTCTCCAGGTGTCATAGAAACCTCAGATCGACTGGACCGTGAGTTGACCTCTCATTACTGGCTTACAGTCTATGCAACTGACCAGGGTGTTGTGCCTCTTTCATCATTTATTGAGGTCTACATAGAGGTTGAAGATGTCAATGACAATGCCCCGCAGACATCAGAGCCTATTTATTATCCTGAAGTAATGGAAAATTCTCCCAAGGATGTATCTGTGGTTCAGATTGAGGCATTTGATCCTGATTCAAGCTCAGATGACAAGCTGATATACAAAATTACAAGTGGAAATCCACAAGGATTTTTTTTTATAAATCCCAAAACAGGTAGGTGTATGAAATATTGATGCATACACTTTACTGATGCGGCAAAAAGTAATTACCATAATTTTCTTTACTTTTGATGTATTTTTTTCCCCCTTTTCCTATTATCCAAAATAAACCTTTTTTTTTTTCCGGTGGAATTTTAGTCCAGTTTATATTTCACTAAAAAAACCTTTTAATGACTGTATTTAATTAATGGAATTCCATTTTCAAATTAAAAAACAACTACAGGCATAGCTTGCTTTATTGTGTCTCATTTTATTATGGTTTAGAGATACATTAAAAAAAATGGAAGTGCCAGCCTTGAATCAAGTAGATATACTTGCACTGTTTTTCTGATAATACCTGCTCACTTCATATCTCTATATTACATTTCACAGTATTGTAAACTTCTCCCCTAATGCTCTTGCACACTTAATAGACTATTGAATAGTAGAAATATAACTTTTACTTTTACATGTGCTGAGAAACCAGAAAGTTTGTGTAGGGTTCATTTTATTGTTATCATCTGAATCCAGTGTTTCACAGTGTCTGGTATAACTTGAGTAATAAATGATTTAGTAATATGTCTTAAATTTGCTACTGATATATCTGAACTGATTGAGTGATAAATCTTGGCATAACTTTACATCTAGTAGGTTTTTGGGGGTAAAATAGTAAATTTTTAAATAATTTACAGTAGTTTGCAATGTTGGTTTTTCTACAGAGCAGTGGTAACATCTCTGCAAGCAGTAAGGCATTGAAATGAAACCTTTTCAAACTGAGTAATTTTCTTGATCTTTCCAAAGATATCAAGTGTTTTTCTTCTTCTTTGTAAGTGTCTGTGACTCACTTCTTCTGATTAGATGGTTACTCTTTTCTAGGATTGACTTCTGGTCTTTATATCTGGTAATGAATTCTATCTACTTTTAAGGAAAAAAAAATCTTTTGTATTTACTACAAAAAGAATGGTAACCATTTGTGTTGGTGGCAGTGATGGTTCAGTAATAAATGCCTCACCTTCTGTGAGGGAAACCGAGGTTTGATTCTTACCCAGTGTAATTCACGGAAGCCACCCCCTTGTCAGTGGAGGTGTGCTGCCATCATCTTGAATGGGTTTCAGCAGAGCTTCCAAATGAATGTGACTTAAGAGGAAAGACCTGGTAATCTACTTCTGAGAATTAGCCAATGAAACTCTAAATCCCACTGGCCTGATCTGAAACCGGTTATGGGGTTGGTACAGAACCAGCCTTTGCTTCCTTTCATTATACACAGAATCACCATGACTCAGTCTTGAACAACTGGACAGCATGATTTGTTTAGGAAAACTATAGTTTTGTGCAATGAAACATCACATGTAGAGTATCATAGACTTACTTCTTGATGAGAATGGAAATAAGAATTACCATATGACAGTTTACCTGTACGAAGATAATACTCAGATAATAACTGAGCTTGGACTCAGATATTTTGCAACTACTTAACACCTGTTGACAGAGGCAAAAAAACCCTAACAACTTTATAGATTAGTTTTATTAGGTAATCTATATACCTCTGTCCCTTTTTTTTAAAAAAAAATTTTCTAATTTTAATGAACATTTATAGAGATTTTGGATTTCCATTCATTCATTGTTGCACTTTTTTCTCTATACCCCCTCCCCCATTTGCTCCTCTCTTTGAAACTCTGTCCCTTTTTTTAAGGAAGACCTCGTGTCACTGTGTCGTACATATGAGGCTGCTGATGGAAAGGTCAGAGGTTAAGCCACCGGCTGCCCCACAGGAGAAACATGAGGCAGTCGGCTTCTGTAAAGACTGACAGCCTGAAAGTCCAGGGGTCAGTTCTGCTCTATGGTTCTGTCTGTAGGGTCACCATGAGTTGGAATAAAGTTGATGATAATGGGTTTGGCTTTGATTTTTACCTCATTTTTAAGGAGCCCTGGTAATGCAATGGTTAAGCACTTGGCTTGCTAACCAAAAGGTTGTAATGCAGCCCAACAACATCTCTGTGGGCCAGAGAGGTAGCATTTCTGCTTCTGTTAAGGTTTACAGCCCTGGAAACCCTAAGAGACACTTCTGCCCCTCCCTGTAGGATTTTTCTTCTCAGAACTGAACCCATGACACTGTGGGCTTGTTGGTTGTTATTTTATCTTCTTTTTTGTGTATGTGTCTTTTCTCATTCTAGATGTTGCTTCATTTACTGAGTTGTCTCTGACATTCCAAGGAGGCATCTTCTGCTTCCTTTTTCAGCCTGTATTGTTGCTCTCCTTTTTTGTACCATTTTTTTAATGATAATTTTTGATGAACATGATGATTTTTACAAGCATTTTGTAATGTGGACTGACATTTGAGTTTAAGGGTTGTACCCAGTGCTCACACAAACATCTTGATAAAGATTTATGTATGTATGCATGTCATGATTTGACAATAAAAATGATGTTAGAATGTAATTTTTTTCAAAACCTAATGTCAGCATGTATCAGCATTTATATAGACTCCCTTTCTTGACAGTTAAAAGTAATCATAAGTTCAAGATTTATTTTGAATTTATTTTGGTGATAGGGTGCAGGAGGACTTGGAACTTTATCAGAAGGACCAAAATTAATTCGAAAAGAATATACACAATTTGAAATTACTTACTCTTCGCAGTGAAGTTGGAAAGTACTCATAGCCGACCCTCTATTTTGAATTTCCAAGGCTGTAAATCAGAGGAGATTTCCTAATTTTGTCTTATGATGCATTTGGTGGATTTGAACCCCTAGAGAGGCATGACCTTTGGGTTAGCAGCACAATTCCCTACAGACGATGCCACCAGAAACCCCTGATTTTTTGGCACAAAAAATTGTAAAATGATTAATAAAAGATATTTTCACAATCGAGTTACATACTGAAGTTTTTTACTGAATAAGATGTTAAAGGAAAATTTAGTTGCGTTACTGTTTTTACTGAACAGGATGTTAAAAGAAAGAGAAATAAACCTAAGAGTAGACACCAAACCTGTTGGTATGGATTTGATTCCAGCTCCTGGCAACCTTAGTTATATAAGAGTTGGGCTGTACTCAGTTGTTACTAGGTGTCATTGGATACAGATAAAATGAGTTTTCTCTTCAACCATTCTTACACATAGGAGTCACAATACCTGTGTTGTAACCATCTTTTCCATCTGCCTCTCTTTTATTCTCATTTCCATTTATCCTTTTATCCTACCATTTCGGCCTTCTGAACTTTAATTCCTAGACAGATTGTGCCCTTTTGATTTTGTATGCATGATTGTTCTGAGGAGTAAGTTTCTCCTTGGTGGCATTGCCCACTTTTTAGTCCTATCTGCTCCTTACTGAAAGTTGAGCCACACAGGTTAGTTAGTCCAGTCTCAGGTACCTATGGGCAATAATTCTACCAGTCTCTGCCAAACCAGTTCGTCTGCCCTTGTTATATGGTTTTGCGTTTTCTTCCACATATTTTGTCCATTCTCTCATGGACTTTGTTACAGTGATCTCTTCGAGTGGTCAGCAGTGGTAGCTGGGCATCATTTAGGTCTTCTGGTCTCAGGATTATGGAAGTTAAGGTGTAAGTGGTCTCTCACTTCTTTCGTCTAATTGTTTTTATACATGGCTACATAGAAGTTTTTAAGTTGCTGGTTACTACTCAGGAAAGTAGGATGTAGAACATTGTCTTTTTGTACTATGTGATGTCAGCTGCCTTTTGTTTCTCCTAAAAGCTGAGACCCTAGGACCAAGAACTCATTCTTTCAGATTATTGAATTAGGATATTTGCATAACTTTGCTCCCTATTGACTCTACTATATATGAGTAGATATCAGATAATCAGATAATGTAAATGTAGAAATATTTGTACAGATACTTCCTGTCAAACCTGTGTGTGGTCATGGTTAGAGCCCCTTTTGACTCACCTCTCTGTCTGTGTGTGGTCTGTCTACCCACATGTGCACTTAGGGATTGATGCAATGAAATGTATTACTGATAATGCAGGATTGTATACATAGTAGTAATTGCCATTGTTGATTGTATCCCTTGTGAACCACTTCATCCATCTCTTGATAAGGTTTTCTTGATTATAAACAGATTATCAAGCTTTTTCCCCCCCAAACACTGCCAGTTGACTTTGAACTACCAACCTATAGTTTTGTATTTTGGTGGTTGTTTTTTTTTAACCTACTGATTTTTAGTAGTTGAATGTAAATGAATTGTGCCACCCTAGGAACCTTAGAAAGTTATGTAAAACATATAAGGTATATAATTGTCATCTGTGTAAAAAAATAGTTTAAAGAATTTAGAAGAATTCAGAGTCAAGAAACAATTTACGTAGGTGAAAAATCCCAGAGTTTGAGGAGAGAGAGAAATCTAGGAGGAAAAGCCTTCCAAGTGGTGATGTAAGAATGTACATCTTTTTGTTTAGATTTGTTTATGAAGAAACAGGTGAGCAAGCAATCAGTGCCTTTATGAATATCTGAGCAAACTACGTCTGGGTTTAAGGCTTCCTTGAGGAGAAAAAAAGGAAAGATTGAGGAGACTTAAGTCTGTGGGGTAGAGATGTTGCGGGGAGCCTTGAAACCTTGGTTATCCCCAGGGCCTCTGAGATGATGATATCATGCTATGGTCTTATATTTTGCTGTGGAAACCTGATTTATGAGATATTGCCACTCCCTTTTAAGTCTTTTGTCTGACAACTCTTAAAGGATGTTTCTAAACTCTTCCTTCAGTGAGAATAAATCCCTTCCAGGAGTCCTTGCACTAGCTCCCAAAACACCTGCGTGAAAAGCCCAGGCATCCCACTGGTAGGACAGCAGGAGAAAATGATTACAGGGTTTTCAGAGGGATTTTTAGGGTTTTTTTTCCCCCCTCTGTGAGTTACAGGCTGGTGATAGTGGAGAATAGAAACAGTACTCAGACATATTTATTGTGAATGTATGTTATAGACACTACGATTAGTAAAGAAACAGTAATTCTGCATATCACCTTTGTCTCTAAATACTGAGAAATAACCATATTTTGGCATGAACATTATTA